ATCGTAAAGGTGTCATTTTCCAGCAGGACAATGCTAGGCCGCACACGTCTTTGTCCACTCGGTAAAAATTGATGGATATTGGTTGGGAATTGATGTTACACCCACCATATAGCCCTGATCTCGCGCCATTGGATTACCACTTATTTCGATCCCTGGACAACTCCCTTCGTGGTAAAACTTTTAACGATGATGACGCTGTAAAATCTCACTTAACTCAGTTTTTGGCCGAAAAGGATCAGACTTTCTACGAGCGTGGAATTTTCAAGTTGTCAGAGAGATGGCGAAAGCTCATCGAACAAAATGGAAAATACATTACAGATTAAACTTCGTTCCAAGTAAAAAAATTTTTTATTTCATCGAACAAATCGGCAATTACTTAGTTGCCAGCCCAATAGTAGTTAACACTATGCCGTCCGCAGATCTTAGATATGATTCTTTTGTTTGACGCCGGCGTAATAGCTTGGAAATGTTAGATTTTTAACAAATTTCGAAGATGGCGGTAATATAAATTCCTAAAATTAGGATATGTCATTCAAGAATTGTCGTACTTAATTCTTAGTTAAATAGGCACAATGTTATAGTTAGTTTGCTGCCTTTTAACACCCGAGAAATATAGTTCAAATGTTATTTCAGTTTTTTAAAATGCCACCAAAGTTTTTGCATGGCACCAGCGTGGTGCGTAGTGTTTTCTTAACTATAATAATATTATCGCGGACGGCATAGTGTTAATCTTAACTATAAAAAAAACCTCTTCCCAAATTGTCCATTTTTGTGCGTAATCTGAGCGCGAATTCGGGAGAAATTACTGTATTCAAGGCTCATATTTATAGTTACCGATTGTCAACAACTATAAAAACAAGGAGTAAGGCTCGAATAATTCTTTTCCCCGAATCGTCCATTTCTGTTTACAAGCCGAAGGAAAATTAGAGAAAATTTGGGAAAATTAATTTGACAATAATTTACCAATAATATGTATATATATAATAATAATAATATACAATATATATATATATATATATATAATATACTAATAATAATAAAAATTTGAAATTTCTTTGAACCGTGTCGTTTCGTTTTTAAAATCACATGTTGTTTGCGGAGCGTTTATCTTCCTTTATAGTTCTTCTGATCGACGTTTCAGGGATACATTCGATTTACAAAAAGCACCAGAGACTGTTGTAAAAACGTCCGAAGTCGACTAATCGGGATTCCTTGGTTCCTCCGGTCGCGTGGAGAAATCATGGGAGTCCGGTATCCTCGAGTTTCTCGGGTTCACGAATTTTATATCGATCGGTTGTGCTCTATCCGAGTCGCTTTTGCCCAGATAGGTGTTCTCAAGCAGGAAAGCGGCAGTCATCAATACGGACACACCGGCGAAGATCATCCACATCAGCAATTCCAACGCGACCTGTTCCATAAATTATACGGTGTTCCGTTAATTGTAAATTTTCAAGTCGCACGGTTAATTCCGCGGTGTCGTTGAATGCCTCGTTGAGCTTTGGCACCGTGAGCCTCACTTCCAGGACAGCGCGAGCGATGATTTTCACGCGATCGTTTGCGGTGGCGCATTGCCAGAACATGTACGGCGCGACGATGATCAAAAGCAGAACGTCCAACGCGTTCAACAGGTACACCGACGCCGAGTTCGCCAGCGACAACGTTTTATTGGATCCGCGGAATAATGCTGTATCGGATTCTCTGTGCACGCTGAAACAGAGGGGGAAAAGCTGATTTCGTACGCTGAAAAGTTTTTTTCATAATTGAAGTAGAAGCATTTGTCATCTTGATCGTTTAACAAGATTTTTGAGATTTTAGGCACACGCCGGAAATACATAAAAAATAAGGATTAAAACGAATATTAATTGTTTGATAATTGTATTTTATTTAATAAAATATATTTAATATATAATATATTTAAATATAATATATTTAATAAAATATGTTATTTATTTAATCGCAAAAATCTGCAGGTGAACTCTATTCATCCTCGCAGAGCTGCGACGGCTGGGTATACTTTGACCCAGGGTACATAGATCGTTCACTTAATTACTCAATCTTCAGAGATGAAAATAAATAAATTGCTGTTACGTTACCAACAATAGAAAGGCTAATAAGTCTGCAAGAAATATCGTCAAAAATATGTTTTGAAAAATTACTGAACAAAGCTCGGAATTGTTATAAACATCGTCAACGGTGCAGTCGTGAAAATGAACCCTTCGTCATTCGAGGGTTAAAAAAAACGCGCTGTGTTTTACTATCTTTTTAAAAAAACATTCAATACTTGAAAAACTGACGATAAGATTTTGACGACAAGTATATAACGAGAATTTGCAGGATTTCAGAGAGGGACGAAATTAAAAAAAAATTAAATTTTTAAAAAAAGGTATCGATACCAAATTAATATCAAATATCAATATCAATATCAAATCAATATCAATATCAATATCAATATCAATATCAATATCAATATCAACATCAACATCAACATCAATATCAATATCAATATCAATATCAATATTAATATAAAATATCAATATCAATATCAAAGGTATAACCAGTATAACAATTTATATAGTTTCGTTTTAACACTTAGCCAACCGAACGGAGAGATCTCCCCGATTTTAATTCAGTCGATTAACGACCGAATTGATAATTAATGAAAAATTAGAATGATATAGAATAATATAATATATATAATCGCGGTATATATATATATATAGAATATATATAGAATAATATATATAGAATATACAGAATAATTAATGAAAAATTAGAAATGATTGCTTAGTTTTATTACGATTTGCAAGTGGTACGAATGCTGAAGAAGTAATCGATGCCATTATAAGTCCGCTTCATAATTTTTGTTTGATCGAATGAAATATTTTAATTTTATGAAAATTTTTGAGGTTCCTAGGCGCGGTCGTGGAAGTGTTAAGGTTATGTCGTTTTATGGGACCTTCGATCGTTGGAGCTCTCGAAGGCACAGCCTCTAATTCGAAGCACAGTCGCTTACCTGTTCACTTTATTGCTGATTTGATTCGCGTCGATCATCTTTGTGAAACTAACGCTGTTTGCTCGCTTCTTACAGGTTAGGGGCGAAGACATGTTATTGCCTGCAACCGCATCGAAGTATCGGGAGACACGGGAAATTTTTAGGACGCTTGCCGACGATATAAGCCAGCCAACATTGGATGATCGAGGATTGTCGAGGAATATTACAACGCCAACATCGTTGAAGTCAAGCGCGGGACTGAATGACACATCGTGGATCGAAAAAAAAAGATCGGTCGCCCTCGGTTCACACCTGTTTTTGTTTTATTGTACCGAACATAGAATATTCGAAGAAAATAGTGAAAATTTCGCTTTATTTCGCAGGAGTGTCGTCTATTCTATCCGCATCAAGCACGGAACTATTGGGTTGGAAACTAAGTAATTGCCGATTTGTTCAATGAAATAAAAAATTTTTTTACTTGGAACGAAGTTTAATCTGTAATGTATTTTCCATTTTGTTCGATGACCTTTTGCCATCTCTCTGACAACTTGAAAATTCCACGCTCGTAGAAAGTCTGATCCTTTTCAGCCAAAAACTGAGTTAAGTGAGATTTTACAGCGTCATCATCGTTAAAAGTTTTACCACGAAGGGAGTTGTCCAGGAATCGAAATAAGTGGTAATCCGATGGCGCGAGATCAGGGCTATATGGTGGGTGTAACATCAATTCCCAACCAATATCCATCAATTTTTGCCGAGTG